GTAATCTTTTAGTTTTAAGTCGGTTTGAACAATCCGGATAAGCGCAAGTAAGTACCATTTTGATTAGCCGTCGTACCTACAATGACTGTGCACTGTGTAAACAATGAGTGACGTATACGCGCGAGAGATCACTTCCGGCGCTTGCGTAAACTACGCCAGAGCGCGTACACACCTCACGCAACGGATGCCTGCACGCCCAAAGACAGTTGGACATAGTGGTGTATTAGAGGTAAAATATGATATAAATACTGTTCGGTTTCTGGCACAAACCGATCGTTTCGTGTCTTAGGACATCAATGTGTCGTCACGAGCTGCAGGGTTTAATTTGGATTTGTCTGCATGTTTTTTTTACTCTCATAGATTTTGTTAAGATTGCCATGCATTATATGACTGATAGACTGCAACGGTTTGTGTTAAAAATCATAATTTGTGTTCTACTGAAGAAACAAAGTCACCTACATCTTGGATGCCCTGGGGGTAAGCAAATAAACATTACATTTACTTTTTTGGGTGAACTATCCCTTTAAACAAGTCACCGCCAAAGCAAAGCAACAGCAGGACTAATGATTTATGGAAGAACGTTACCAAACATAAATATTATCTATCCGGCATAAAAAGACAATCTCGCAGGGATGTCCTCTCTAGACTCTTTCCAACAGATTATTCACGATCTGCTTAGTACATGAGTTCCAAAAATACACATTTGGCAACATGATGGTCTTCAAAGAGAAGATTCCAGTTAAACCGCAAGCGCCCATAAATACAGGGTGTTGATTTACTGTTATCTCCTGGAAAGAAAGGCCTGGAGAGTGATTTAATAATGCCAGAAATCAAAAACAGATGAAGGGGATGACGACCTGACACGGGTTTGAAGGAAGATGTTATGTTGCCTGCAAAATGTAGCTGGTCCCTGAAAAAGCGTTTATGCGGACGCAACCTCAGAAACAGAAAAACATAACCTACAATGTTCTGTCTTGTTTGTTCTTGTAGAAAGCCAGAAGGATTCCAGTTCATATATTCTGAGATGGTTTCCTGAAGTTTGTGCACATAACGTGACGAAAGGCGAGAAAGCAGCCACAGTTCAGGTGTGTCTCGTTGATTTACAGCCTAGAAGTCTGAAGGGGCCTTTTTTTTTTTTTTTTTTTTTTTTGAAGTTGGGAGCCACTCCAGCATTTTTGATAATTTTCATAAACGTTTAATGGTTCCCAGAATATTTTGTTGTATGAATGATGCCAATGATGCCTAGAATTAACATTTTAATTACAACAGTCAGCACACACGGCTCACACATTGAAGGCAGTGGATGTTGCAGGTGAAGTTTCTTCTGTGTCTTTGTGAAGCTCCAGAGAAACACGCTAAACTTCCAGCTCAATATCCAGACCTCATCACATTCTTCTCAGCAGATGCACAACCATGGCTTCTCGAGGCTTTTATACAATAACTAGTATTACAGAACAAACCAGAATCTTTCTGCAGGAAATGCCTGATCACCAGCGCATGGATGAGTTCTATTATAATGTGCTGTTTTGCACCTGTTTATCTCATTTGAAGAGCTGACTTTGCTGCATGATCTGTCAGTTTTATGTCACGTAGAATTTGACGATTAGTCAGTGCTCCACAGATGCGACCTGCTGTTTATTTTGAAACAGAACAGAAAAATTGTTTGACTGAAGTCATAATGACCATTGGCACTGAAGTATGAACATCAAACAAAATTCATAATCAGCAGCAAATGGTGTTTTCAGTCTGCACTAATTAATAAACGCAGTGGCCACGTGTTCAAATACATGAGCTGCGGTGCTCATGTGGATAATAGGTATGTGTACATGCACTAATGTTTAGAGCCCGACCGATATGGGTTTTTTGGGGGCCGATACCGACATTAGGGAGTAAAATCCCTAATATATATTGATATATCGATATCGATATATCGGCCGATATTCTTTGTGTATATTATAGTACAGTACCAATCAAAAGTTTGGACACTTTCCCATTCGTGTGTCCAAACTTTTGACTGGTACTGTATATAGAATACAGTATATACGTAAACACATTTTTTGCAATGATCACTCAAATGTGGTGATCAAACACTTATAATGACATGACGCGCTCTGCTGGACAAACTACGTAATTACACCATTTACAAGCATTTTATCTGCGTTTTATGTTCTGTAAAAAAAAAAATTCATATCGGCGGCATATTCGCCGATACCGATATATCTGCGACAGGCTCATATCAGCCGATGAAATCGGCAAAACGATATATCAGTCGGGATCTACTAATTTTCATGAGTCCCAATAAATCCAATCTGATTTAAGATTCTGAAAATTCCTAAACAGTTTCATTCAAGCAAATAAAAATTCCGTAAATATTCATTCTCATTCACTGACCAGTTCATAAGATGTAATATTCATATGCATGTTGTTAAGAAGGTATTTTTTGAAACTGATTGAGTGGATAGTCTTATACAAGCGTTTGCATGCTTAGTTTTTTCTCCTTGATCAAATTATTTCAGGTCTACACCATCCCTGTCAATCCAGTCTAAATTTCATTCAGATCGAGCTCAGTCAGAACGATTGAGGTCTTTACATTAAGGAATATCAATTCGGTTGAGCCATCAATCCGATTGCCAGTGGATTATTTAGGTGTATGTAATGTAGCTAATCCGGCTTGCAAGATTTCCAGATTTCACCGACAGGAAGGTTTTGGTTTTCTTTGTTTGAATGTGACGTTTTGACACTCTAAAGACCTCACCTTTCGTTGATTGGAATTGGGAATGTCCTGAGCTGGAATTAAACTCTGGTTGCATAAACCATATGAAACCAATGTTTTGCAAATGTGATACCTACATACAATGTGCTGCAATTCAGCACAATTCATGCTGTGTAGTATGAAATGTGAAAGCAGAGTTAAGATTTAGGGCTGTAAATGTGCATTTTTGCCTGATTTGACAGTGAAACTCTGTCTTTGCCTGTAAGTTTTGCTGCCTTCCTGAAGCTCAAACACTAGAGCAATGGTGCTAGCAACACCAAGGTCATGGGTTCAATTCCCAGGGAAAGCAAGAACTGATGAAATTTGTACTTAAAGTCCCCATGAAATCAAAATTAAAGTTTTTTGGGTGTTAGTATCAATTTGTTAGTCTTAAGGTTATCTATAAGGCAGTGTGCTCCAAAACAGTGACAAAATTCGCATTTAGAAGATATAAGCATTCAAAGCTTGCAGTTCGTCACTTCCGCCAAAACGGCTCAACGATTTTTATGACGTCACATCGTACTTCAGCTTCTCATCAAACTTTCTGTCAAATCAAATGCTCTCTAGAATCCAAAGCGCCCGCCTACACATTAAAATAGACGCTGAAGCCGCGGCTGAAATCGGTCACTTGTCAAAGGTCTTCCTGTTTCAGTTAAAATGACGTCAACACATAGAGTAACGCTGCGTGTTTCTAAGCATTTCAGGGGACCTTTAAATTAAGTGCAAGTTGCTTTGGATAAAAGTGTATGCCAAAAACGTACGTGTAAACGTACGCTTTGATTTCATTTTTAGATTTTGATTTCAGGGACTGGAATTCAGGGGCAAAATTATAATATGGCCCAACAAACACAAAATATTGAGGCTTGTGCATGTTTACAAGTCTCTTTTTGAGTAAAAATAGACTTATAAATAGCTCGTGTTCTCTCTCTTCCAGTCGGTGGTGAAGACGGGTCGGCTGCTCGTCAGTCATGAGGCTCCGGTGACTGGAGGATTTGCAGCTGAGATCAGCTCTACGGTTCAGGTAAGAATCAGATGGGAAATCAAGGCTCTGGTGGGTATAATGATTTATAGATTGACCAGTACTGATTATCTTTTCATGTTCAAGTGTTCAAAAATTGTGGTGCAGAAGCTTTTTATTTCTGTTAATTTTCTGCTTTTTGACACTGTAACTAAATAATGGTTGGACTTTAAAACATCTGTATGCTCTCATGCTACATCATCAACCATCAAAACTCAATTCCAGTACTCATGAATGCTAGTACAGACTTATTAAAGTACCTGGATGTGTTCTTGATATTGACGATGCGTCAAATGTGGACTTGAGAGAATCAAACCATTAGGAATCCATCAAAAGTCATCGTGGGTGGTCCACGTATGGAAGCCTGCAAGCTTTAAACTTCTCGTTCTCACTTAAGAAATCCCCGCTGCAACCTGACAACTCGTGAAAGTAAATATTTGTCACTTTATTCAACATTATTTTAATAAAGTGTTAAAGACCTGGAGAAAGCCTGCGATATTTAATATTGGCATAATAAAGAATCTAAACATTGACAAAGCATAGTAATACTAAATACATGCAGTAAAATAAAGATATAAAATAAATATCAAAATAATGCCTATAATAATATGAAATAATGTTTTATTAGGTTAGGACATTGTTTGTGATGTTATTCTGTATTCATCATGCATTTGCTACTACTAATAATTAGGGCTGTCATAAAAAAATGCGAATTTCGAATATTCGTCGAATAAAAATAAAAAAAAACACATTCGAATGCAAAAAAGTTGCATTCGAATTTTAGGTCTGCGTCAGCCGTCAGGCAGCCTATCAGTGGCGCACGAAATGCGACGACAATGTAAGTGTCATTGCATTTTAATGCTTTTTTTAGCCTATCCAGTTGAACCCACTAGATGTGGTGCTGCTACGTTGTTCATTCAATATATTGCGGAAAACGAGAGCATCAGTGTGGCGAAGATGTTGTTTACGGCGAAACTGAAATCAAGCCGTTCACACAGAACGCATATTTATCACATTTTCTAGAGGGGCATCTATCAGCGTTGCGGCGAAACTGAAACCAAGCCGTTCACACAGAATGCATATTTATCTCATTTTCTAGAGGGGCATCTATCAGCGTTGCACTCGCGTCTCGCACAAGAGAGCGGCATGTTTAGAAACCCATGTAAAATTAATGTAAGTTCAACTTTTAAAAAAAATATTCACCCTAACTGAAATTATGCCTTTTAAATTAGAATATAATTCGAATTTTGATAATATTAATTTTTATAAATTCGAATTTAGCTTTTCAGTCATTTTGACAGCCCTACTAATAATGTGCTCGGACGGTCAGTTCAGTAACAAGATCACAGCGCATCTCAATTCTCACAAAGATGTGTCCTCGCTTCCTTCCGTGTTTGTTCTGGCAAGACCGGTCTTCACAAAGATGCAAGTCCATTCATTGCATTCGTGGAATTCAGAAACAGTGATAAGAACTAGTCTGACCAACTAGCAGTTAGGCATGGGTAATCAGTCTTATTTTTTGGATTCAAATTAGACCAGTTTATGTAACTGACTTAAAAAAAAAACTATATATCAAACTATAAACTAGTCCATAAGAACCCTGATCCAGACTTCTGTTTTCAAGCAACTAGTGTAATTTAGCTTTGAGAAATCAGCTGAAATCAACCAAACTCAGACATTAAACTGATGCTCTAAGTGTGAAAACAAGCCTGTTTTATAGTGGAATGAACAGAGGAAACAGTTTAAAGATTCTTATAATTTATTTAAAATAGGAATCTTTTGTAACATTATAAGTGTCTTTACTGTCACTTTTGATCGAGTTAATGCATCCATGCTGAGTTTAAGTACATACTGACCTCGAGCTTTTGAACAGTGGTGCTCACATTCATGAGCGTCTCGGGCCTCGGCGAGCTCGTGCTGATGGTGGAAATTTTATCAAGAGATTGGTCCATGCATAGATGCAGGGCTGGTCTTTAAACACAAACATCAGTCATGTTTCCATTGACGTCAAAGTTTGTTGAAACACCTGTGAGTGGGGTGGACACGCTGGGCGCTGATGAGTCAGCCGGACATGCACAGATAATGGCACTGAACAGAAAAGATGCTAAAAAAGGCTGTTAGCCGCACTGTGGTTAACCTGAGCTGTGGTCAAGCTACTGACGTCTGCGATAGCGGCAGCTAATGTATCTGCCCTCCACCAAAACACCCAGGGCCCAACAAAACACACACGACATTCTGCAGTCTAGTGTCACAATACCAGCATTTCAGTAGTCTGTACCAAAACCAGTGAGATTTCACAGTTCTCAGTGACAATTTCAGTACCGTAGCGGGTACAGAAACATACCATATAATGCAATAAACATCAAGCACGGAAAGCACACAGAGCATATCAGTTCTAGCTTTACTAACTTGACATCGCAGCCTATTTATCATCAAACCAGTAAACCAAAAATAAAAAATAACATGGCTCGATTTAAATTCCATTAAATAATTGTCTGAAAGGTTTAATTTTACATGGATATTGGGACATGAGTGAAGTACAAGCTTGCACAATAAATAATAGTTTAGCAACCAAACATTACATTGTGAATATGGAAACATTTGGATCCGCACGAGAGGTACATGAGCCCGTGTTTTGCGGGCTGCTTTTCCAATAATGATTACAATATTGAGTTATTCCACTGCACTACACTTGTTTTCTTTCCAAATCCTCACATCTCATCACATATTTTTATTTATTTATTTGTTTTCAGGGGATCTATTTGTATATTTTTACTTACATGTTTATATTAGTTTTACTTTCCTCCTTTCTTTAACTTTTAATCCTTAATCTTATTCACATCCTTGAATGTGGTATAGTAGGGAAAACGCTGTAGATCATGTATAGTTTTACTTTTCAAAATAACAGAAATCATTCATTATGTATGTTTTTTAAATGCAGCGGTCTGTTGTTGGTCAATTAGACATGGTCTGTGTGTTTGTACATAAATGTTTTATCTTGTGGGTTTCCGTTTTTATGTCTCCTCACATTTAACTTTTACACAGTTTAAGGTAAGACACATGAAGTTTGTGTAATGAATTTCATACATGCTGGTAGTTTCAGCTTCACTTTAAATATTTTTATACTTGTGACTCTCAAAAATGCAGTTTTCGCATAGCAAAACCGTAGCAAACGCATAGGTAAGGTGTTAAAAACCACCCAAAACTCCCTAGGAAGGGTAACCGCATAGAAACGTCCTGCCAGATGCCCTCAACAGCTTCTTTTCAGAGGCAAACACCACTCACGATTTCTGCAGAAATGATAAAAGTCTAGTTATTCATTCACAGTAGAGACACAATAATACAGCCGAGATGCTGGAATCATTGAGCAGAGGATCTTACAGAAGTTGAGACTGTGACAGCATACTGTTATTCCTGGAGCAGATCTCTGTGTTCCTGGACAACTCCATGGAATAGTTGGAATAATATTCAATATCATCTGTCTCGCTCTGTGTCTGTGTGTGTGTGTGTGTGTATGAATAAAGCAGCAAGATTCCTCTGGAATGTAAACGTGTGTGTGTGTGTGAGGTGTGAAGGGGTTTGTGGGTAATGTTCTCCTCTAGTGTCGTGTCTCTTTATTATGCAGGCATGTTTTAGACAGTATCTGATCATGTGTGTTTGCAGAAGAGTTTAATCAGATTTGAGAACCAGAACGAACTGTATAACAAAGAGTGAAAAATTTAAGGGGGTCTGAATACTTTCCGTACCCACTGTATATATATATCAGGGGTGTAACGGTTCACAAAAATCACGGTTTGATTCGATACGACAGTGGTGTCACGGTTCGGTTCGGTTCGGTACGGGGGTAATTGGTTACGTCGCAATGTTGGAAATATTTCTGTTTTAAACCATGAAGGGTGAGCCAAAGGATATCACACACAAGCACCGTGCAAACTTTGCGCAACAGTTATGCCGGTGAACGATTTAATCTCAGTCAATTCACTACATGCAGAAAGTGAAAGTAAAAATGGAAGTACAGAGTAATGACGGAGCTTTCAGCATCTGATTCTGTTTTAAACCATGAAGGCGAGCCAATGGATATCACACAAGCAACATGCAAACTTTGTGCAAGAGTTACGCCGGTGAACGTCTTAATCTCAGTCAATTAGCTTTTCGGCATCTGATGCCGCAAATTCTCTCAGAGACAACAAGAGACGAATCTACTTCCACATATGCTGATAACGGTATATAGCTAACTGTTTTTTTTAATTCCATTAACATTCCAACAACAAGCCTAATCGTTTGTTATCCTCGCAGCGCGTCAGTTATGCAGTAACAGGCCTACATTAATTGGAAATGCCAAATCCTCTTAATATTGCCAATAATTGATGTTTTTGACAATATTTCTGGCTATCGTCGATACAAGTTCATCGTCTTTCGACGCAACCCAGGACGGGGAGGTTATCGCAGGGCCGTCCGCTATGCCACTGGGCAGACAGCACGTTGCCTGTTACGTTGTTTGGGCTTCATTGTTGAGCGCAGTGGCACTGAGAACATTATATTTCACACACTTTAAGCTCTTTTATTTTCCATATGTAATAGGATTAGTCCAACGAATCGTTCGGTTTGTAATGCGTACCGTACCGAACGGTTCAATACGAATTAGGGCTGCACGATACTGGAAAAAACTCACATTGCGATATTTTTTTTTTCTGCGATATACATTGCAATATGGAAAAAAAATCAGATGACTTCAATAGCTCTATTTGGAAAACAAAAATAATCAATGACTGGGGTGATTTTGTAGGCGAGTAAATCAGCATAGGAAATAAACAAATTACAAGCATAGATAAATAACAGAACAA